TGACTTTTGGGAAAATTGGGAGGCATTTATGAGTACTGTCTGCGAAAAATTATTAGCCACCGCCATTCTTAAAAACAATCGACAGCCCTGGGTGGGTGTGGGGTGCCGGTGTTTCTCTGCTCCTAACACGCCCCATACCCACAACCTACACCCACACTCACACCCGAGCCCACCCCACGCACCTACACCCACCCACACCCCTCACTCACACCCACCCACACCCCTCACTCACACCCACCCACACCCCTCACTCACACCCACCCGAAACCCCTCACTCACACCTACACCCTGTCGGTAATGGGGGGGGGGGCGTATGTCCGTAATGTTCTGTTTCTCCGTTGCTAAGTGTCTGTAATGGGGTGAGAGGAGGGGGGAGCCGCCAAACCTCGAACTGAAAACTGCACTCACTATTTTCGAAGAAAATATACGTGAGTTCCACAAAACAGACTTTTGGGAGCAATCAATTTTCAATATCATTCCTGTTCGTGGTTCTCGGAAGACACTAGTTACTTTGTTATGAATAAGGGTGTCAATTTATATTTACTTTTCATTTAATTTACGCGTAAATTAAATGATAAATAATTTATATTTATTATAAAGTAAACGGTAAATGAGACCCCTACTATTTGATAAGTTTTGTTTTTTTGCATGTTATAGAGGTTTCATGTAATTTCTATAAGGTTTCTTTTGATACGCATGGAATCTGCCTCTTGAAGTCCTGTGAAGTCTTGTGAAGTCTGGTGAAGTCTTGTGAAGTTTTTTGAAGTCTTGTGAAGTCTGGTGAAGTCTTGTGAAGTCTTGTGAAGTTTTTTGAAGTCTTGCGAAGTTTTATGAAGTCTTATGAAGTTTTGTGAAGTCTGATGAAGTCTTATAAAGTCTCAGGAAGTCCTACAAAGTCTCTGAAGTCTCATGAAGTCCGTGAAGTCTCACGAAGTCTGTGAAGTCTAACGAAGTCTTTGGAAGTCTTTTGAAGTCTCATGATGTCCCATGAAGCCATACGAAGTCTTATGAAGTCTTCCGAAGTCATTTGAAGTCCTATGAAGTGTTCAGAAGTCTTTAGAACTCTTTTGAAGTCTTGTGAAAATATGAAGTCACTGCGGCTGAAGTCTGTTGAAGTCTTTTGAAGTCTTGAAGTCCGCTGTTTCCCCCTTGCAAAGTATTCTATGAAACGTACCACTCACGAAGAAACATTCGTAGGCATCCGCTTACTTTTGAAATGAAACTTGTCTAATTCGACTGAAACGAAACCAGCCAGCGGGCCACACTCTTCTAGTTCATCCATCTCAGAAAAAAAACTCCTAGCTGATGACGACATAAATCATGCCCGCGGTATCCGGTTACGCCAACCCGTCAGTCACGGGCAGGTCCGATTGATTGACATGTTCGAGTGAAGAAGAGATGGTAGGTGACAGCACAGAGAAATGCGATACCGAGCTGTCACGCATCGACTATGTTCTTTCGTTGCAAAAAACGGGAATTTATTCACTCTGTCTCGTTATAGAGAATGAAGAGAGAACATACAGACTGGATCTTCGATACCAACACCCTCAATATTTCATTTCTTCGATCACGTGCTACCACTCTGGATTAGAATGATCTTTCAAATTCGGAAAATGAGAAAGGTCTCTGTCTTGCCATCCAATATGAAAGACGACCGGGTTGACTCATTCCTGATAAAAACGACGCAATTTCGTTTTTTCTCGTTCTCCCACTGCAATCTCTGTAATTACACATTTGCTTAAAAGTGAAGAAATTTCACGAGCAAATATTGAGTATGTAATATAGGCGACCTCGAAACGCTTCCTTTCTCCTATTAATATATAGGCTGTGTCTTGCATGAAATTAACGAGATTTATATTCAGGTGAGTTAATAATTCACTTTTTTTCTGTAAAGTTTTACCCATGGATGATAAGTTACTGCTGGTAATTTCGAATAGACTTTTTTTCACAACGATCAACAAGAAACGCTACTTCGTTTTATAACAATCTTGTAATGAGTGAGAGTGAGAGCGATGGTGTATTTCTGTTGTTCTTACACCTAAATTCAGATCTCTATACCCTATCATACAGAATTCCGAAAAAACGCCGTTTCTACGTGTTTTTCGTTTAAAGAATATACCAGAGATTCTCATGTGAAGCTATCAGAGTTTAAAGACACTAAGATGACGAAGCTCAAGAATCTGCTGATGAGGTTATAAACCCACTGAATCTAAAAAAGTCATTACCAAGAACTTCTTTTACCAATATTCGACAAAAAAATCAAGTACGAAAAGAGAAATACAAATCCTGTAACTAAAAATTAGCTGAGTGAATAGTAGAAACAGCATAAAGTCATCTCTAATTCCGTTTTTTGTTTTAGATCGACCATTTCAACTTCGAGGATTTCCAGTTGCTTAAGTAGATTCACAAAATTCAAAATGACCACCTTGTGTTCAATCAGACTGAACAGTCCTTTCTGGAATACCGACATCACAGAATATTACAACAATTTAGAAGTGTACTTGATTGTCAACCAGTATCTGACAAAACTAAAACAAGTTCTTGTCGAAGAAATCAATTCCCGAATCAGATTTGTAAGAAATACGGGCGAGAGAATTAATGACTATTCACAGACTCTGTTTCAAGAACAGCGTAATCTAGTCAATTCTTTACAATTTGCGGAACTGGACCGCGTATTTGTCAAGCGTCATGTCGAGAAGTATTTGGAGAGATTTGTTCAAAGATTCACCGCCATAACATTTGACATGATTTTATATATTGACGGAGACAAGGACCGAAGAGAAAATATTAGTTGTATTTTTTCCTCGTCAGAAAACGATACTTTTTCTTGGTATCGATATAACCGGAGAGAAGCAAGTAGAACCGTAGAAATGGCCAAATACACACGATCTTATTGTGATGACATTGAAGATTGTCTGAATACATCCAAATTTCAGGCAAGCGACATTCAAGATGGCTATCTCGGCCAATATTTGTTTTTTTTGCGGAGGTTGACACGGAAAATCGAAGATAATTCGAAAACAATTGAAACTCAAGATGATATTACATCGGCAGGAAGATCGGTATTTAAACATCAGTATTTCATCCTAACTGCTAAACTTTTTATTGTGCACTATTTTAAAGCCTTTTTGACGGTGACAATGCTTCTCTGACTCATTTGATCCAACTAATGGACATCATCAAAGATGGTTCACGTGAACTCAAAGCATTGCTCTAACGTCTTTTCAAATAAAACACTCAAACTCTTCTATGTAACGAACTCAATGCAAAACTAGTCGAGGTCGAACGCCGCTGAAATCAACAACGGTTAAAGTTGACGAAAAGATTCCTTTGACGATAATGACATATTAAGACCACCATCACTATGAGGAATGCTTGCATGCCTGCCGATAGTTGGTTGTTTGAAGGACAAATGAATGTAAACGATGTGTTCAGGACAGCTAAGAACAACACTACGAAGATCTTGTGAGCTGCGAATTGCTGCAAGCTGTCGACTTCATGAACAGCGGATCGCGTTACCACGCAGCAACGACAACAATTCATACAAAAGCTACAGTCGTCATCGTAGGGGTTGTCATTGGACTGATGCTGGAATGGTGAACATAGAAAGCTACTGCCGAGCAACCATAGGATGCACATCGTCCCGCAGATGCCCGATATCCAAAGTGGCATCCGGAGGGGCAGTACTGTGGCCAACAATTGAAGTACTATTGGCACCCCAACCTATACCACATACATCATTGAGAAAATGACACAAGCAGCAAAGCGTTTTTCTCAGATTAACATTCTTCCAGACTAGATGCGCTCAGAACGTGCTCAGACTACAAACGCGCTTAGAAGCATTATCGCATCTTAACGTGTCTGAAAAAATATTTGAGATGCGTTTGAACACAATTAGTAGGCAAAATGCGTTCAAACGCGTTTAGACGCGGTTCAGTTTTTTTTCTTATTGCATTTAAACGCATTGTACGGGAAAACTGCGTCCAGACACGTTTCAAAAATTTTTTTAACGCGTGTCAATGCGTTTCATAGTAAACCGTGTTTGCACGCGTCGTGAGAACGTTTTTCACCGCGTTTCAACGCATCGATTTTGCGTTTCGTGCTTACATGGGTAGTCAAGGAAAAATTTCTATCGGAGAATTATGGAATCGTCTTATTCCAATGTTTGTTTTAATGAAAAACTGTTTTGCTCTCTAATATTTTTACCGAGCACATCCAGCCATGCTCAAGTAAATGAAACAATACCACTTATTTTATGTAATGAATCGATAATTCAGATCGCTAATGAGTATAATAATATTCTGGGTCTTAATACTTTATAATCGAAAAATAGCAAATTGAGATACTTCTCTCATTAATACGATTTTTTCATCATGATTTTGTTTAGATTTTCCATTATTATTTTCTTAATGATTCTCAAGACTGATGTAGTTCTTAGTCAACCAATATCGTCTGTCCGTCTGTAATCAAGTTTGATCCTAGCAATTGAATTCATTATGTCTTACAGCTCCAACTAATTAACATTATAACTGATATACTTTCACTATGCAAACGTTGCTACCGATCATGATACTTTCACACCGTCTACAAAAAGTACTTGATGTCTTTGTCTGTTATTTCGATTGCGGATTACTTTTTTTCAGTTTTTTTTCGATGGACGAGTGTTATGGCAGAAGCGATATCTCCTAGCATAAATGTGTTCTCTTATCTATTGCCCATATTAGCAGTCAATATTGTTTCGAGAATAAATATATTCAGCCCAAAAATAAAAGAAAGGAAAAAAATAATAACAACGAACGTCTACACGACGGTTGCTTTTTTTCTAATGACATCAAGTCACGATTGTTATTGCCTTTTTTTCATTCTATCATTTCGCCAGGTCGGATGTACACCATTGGTTTTCTTTTCTTTCGCAAGAACAAAATAGAATTGCGACACATCGTTTCAAAGCAAATATAAAAAGACATCGACCTTGTTTTACACACATACACACGTACATTATGGCTACTATCATCAAACAACCGTCTATAACAATTAAATGTTCAAAACCAACGAAAAATGTTGAACCTGTAGTATGTATGGCTGTTGAATCGAATACAAAGCAATGGCCTACTAATATGATATGGTTCTATTCGAATACTGCAAACTTGTCGAAAGATAATTTTATGCCATCTAATCATTTACAAACTACTCTATCGGATACGCTCAATTATTTTCCCATGTTAGCTGGTCGTATTATTGAAGATGCGAAAGGCAATGTCACTGTTCATTTAACAAATGAAGGTGTTCTTTATACCGAAGCAGAATGTCCGAATCAAACTATGGACTATTTCATACCTCGAACGCTTTCGGACGAAGAATTTGATTATGAACATATCAATACAAGTAATTTAGTCTTGAAAGTAAACAATGATTGGACAGGACCTTGTGTATCGATACTAGTAACGCGTCTCAAATGTAATAACGTTATTTTAAGTATATCAGGTTTCCCATTGTTTCTTTGATCCACATGCTATGTCACATTTCATCAATACATGGGCATCGGCTAAGCCACCAGAACCAATGCCAATGTTCGACAAAACTTTTGTTTTATATCCCACTGAAGAACAACGACAATGTATCAGCTCTCTAACTCGACCAAAGGACTGCGTTTTCAACCGTGATATTAATCAATCTTCTGATTCAAGATTCACCGAAGCACAACAGCAACAGCGTGTTATTTGCAAAGTTTATTTTTTCTCTACTGATGAATTAAAAAATCTAAAAAAAGAAGCATCAAAATCTCTACCAGAATCAATCGATTATATCAGCACCTATGATGCTCTTTATGCACATATGATTTTAGTGATTGCTCAAGCGACTCAAACTTCATTAACTGATAATATCAAAATTCTACAATCATTCAATGGTCGATCGCGTTTCGTTTCTTCGTGTTCACCAGCCGTTCTCAATTACTTCGGTTCATTTCTATTTTGGCTCTATGGTAAAATACCATCAGATCGAGAACCAACTCTTTCATCATTAGCACAAATGATACATGAAATGTATTCCAAACAAACGGAACATTCATTGAGAGATTATAATGCTTATTTAAAGAGTGGTGATGGTGATATAAAAAAGAATCGAGTAGATGCTGATGTAATTAATCGTGATTTTCATTGTGCATCATGGCGAAAAGTAAATCTGTTAGGTGCCAAATTTGGTAATAGCGGATATCCTATTTACAATGGACCAACAGATGTATTGTATCCACGATATTTTGAAATGATGGATGCACATGTAAATGATGAATCGATTAATATTATATTAGGATTGAGAGAACAAGATTATGAACGAATGATACAACAGAATTTAATACATAAATATCGATAAATTTTTATGGAAATATTTTAAACAGTTTTACTTGATAAATAATTGATTGTCAAAGAAAAATCTAGATTATCATCAATGTTTCTTTCGATTCTTAGATACATTTTTTTCTGTTGATTTATTCTTTAAAGAAAACTAAAAACTAAATTGATTGAAATAACTAATTAATTCTCATCAAATATCATCATGTAATATCAATTTTATACTTCTACTCACGTATATTTAAGTGTTGCCAGAAGTAGCAGCGATGGCTCATTCTTCAAATGATATCTTAGTAATAAAATATCGATACAAGCTGTTTTAGATGAACAAAATAAAAATTCTTGGTTTGACATTCAAGCAAAGTTTGTCCATAATGAACTTTATTCCATTTCGTGACAATCAGATTCTGTTTTGCAAGACGCTAAGAGATAATCTCAATAAATTCGTTATTGCCTTGTTAATCATAATCCTAATACTTTTTATTATCGTATCGCCTAGGGAACGATGAAATACTAAGAGAATACAGAGCATTGTTCTATTGACTGACTATTGGCTTCAGGAAATGATGTAATTGAAATATATTGATAAGCAATCTCTCTTTTTTTCTCAATGTAACTTAATGTCGTCTCTGACATATGTCCATACATCTTTCGATCATATTATTGACAACAGTAGTGGACAATAGGATGACTAAACGAAGAATACGTAATATCAGTGCTCCATTCGGGGTACTTCAAACCATAGGCAGTATCATACGGCAAGGAAACAGGGGCCGATGTTGGAATACAACGGCATCACGCATACTCGCTGATAACATCTGTAACAGAAGATCAGAATGTCCGCTCAACGATGATGAATTGCTGTGCTGGGGTGTGGGTGTGGGTGGGATGTAGGTGTGGGTGTGGGTGTGGGTGTGGATGTGGGTGTGGATGTGGGTGTGGGTGTGGGTGTGGGTGTGGGTGTTGGTGGGTATGGGTGTGGGTGTGAGTGGGTGGGTGTGGGTGTGGGGTGGGTGTGGGTGGTGTGGGTGTGGGTGTGAGTGTGGGTGTGGGCGTTGTTGTGCGTGCCTCTGCAAGCGTTCTTTTAACCCAGACGCACACCCCCACACCCCCACACCCACAACCACACCCACACCCACACCACCCACCCACACCCACACCCACACCCACACCCACACCCACACCCACACTCACACACCCATCCACACCCACACCCCACCATCTGAAGCCGGGCCAGCTTCCCATGCATTTATCTCAATTTCGAAATTTTTGACAAAAATCGACTTTTTTTGAGTGTTGGGTGGGGGGGGGGGGGGCTTAAAGTATCAGGAAGCTCGCGACAATTTTTTAACTTTTGACGAATATATTCAATCCATTTTCTTCAGCATCATCTTTATTGGCGTAACTTGAAAAAATCTGAGACATGCTCAGATGATAAGTTTTGCTGAAACAACGATTCTGAGGCCTTCTTTAGTGATAATGATTTGCCTCACACAAGCGAATTACTTATTCTGAAGTTAGATTCGAAAAAAAGCGACGAAGAAGATGTCACCCGATAAGAAAATTATGAAATATTCAGCGTATTCAGGTGAAAATGAAATTTCTTGCTATATGAGGTTGCTGTTTCATTGCTTCTTCGTTTTCTTATCAATGAAAACGTCAGATTTTATCATGTGATTTAACTATTGGCAAATTGTCGACAGTGCTTTCTTTTAGTTATTACGAAAATAGAAAAAAGTTTTATCGAAGAAATTGAACAATATAACGAATAGCTATTTGTGATTCATCAAAGACGATGTATTCGTTATACTTAAATGAATGAGACGAATGCTTTGGCTCTTCACAAGAAATCAGTCGACCTAGTGGCATTTTAATACCTAGAAAAATATCCACATATTAGAAAAAATCAGATAGAATCATTCAATGAAACAAACTACCATCTCTTGTGATCGTGTATCGTGGATCAGGAATTGAGCGACCATGACCTTTACGACTTTGATATTCATCGAAGTCTAACGGTTCATCTTGATCATCACTTTCATCACTGATTTCTTCGGATTTGCCTAATGCCACTTCACACAATAACATAATGCAACGTTCACCATCACTTTTTGTAACACCGGAACAATAATTGAGACTTTTCACAAATGCATCAGCTGTGTAGATTCCCTAAAACAGTAGGCGAGCATTAATACAACCCATGCACTATCCATTACCTTTCCAAATATACTTCCAGTACTTTTTGCGCATAAAGGTGCAATTAAAAGTCCTAAAAACATAAGCGAAGACTATTGCTTTATTGATGTATCTCAAAGGAATGAATACCTCGTGTAAGTATACCAATCGAATTGCAAATATTCGTACCATGCCAGAGTAAATAATGGTTATCTAGATTCCGTTGAAAGCGTCGCTCATCATCATTAGGTCGTGCGAATTTGAATATTTGTTCGACTTTTGTACCGGGCACACTTGCCCAGATATAGCGTAAAATCAATCCGTAATCAACATCATTTTGATTCATGACTTCAAATTGGCAATTAATCGATTTATACAAATAATCTAATGGCGATATCTGATTTAAATTGGCTTGTGCAGCTAGAAGAATTTTGTACGATAATTCCAATTCAAATATATCAGTGAGTTTCTGTTCCTGCAGTTTGACAGCTTGTAAAGTATCGATTATTGGTAGTTTCTCATCATCATAGCCCGGCAAAGGTATTAGACTATAATATTCATTGGTGAGTTGACAAATCGAATCAAGTAAGCGTCCGAATTCAGTGTTTTCATCCGAAATAGTTTGTTGTATAAGTAATTGAAGTTTTTCTTTTTGTTCGATGTCACTTTTCAGTTTTTCTAATACGTCACGTGCTTTTTGTAGACTCTCGGGTCTTAGTTGAGAAAGAGGCATCCATGCAAGATCTGATGTAGCTTCTTTGGCCTTTTTGCGTATCGCTTCGGAATTAAGGAATGTTCTGAAAAGGTCCTTGTATTCATCTGATTTTAATTTAGACGGTACCTGTTGGGCTTCATCATTCAGTCGTTCAAAATCAATGGGAACGTCCGTGTTATTTTGTGTTTGGTTATCGCTTAGTTGTATTAGTGTGTATTTCTTTAGTTTCTTTTCGAATTGATTCGTATTTTCCCAGGCGTTACCCGTTTTTTCTTGAAAAATTTTACAGAATTCTGCTCGACATTCTTCAAATGATGGGTAAGGTGTTGATTGGTATTGTCCATTACCGTCACCAATACGTCCCCAACGTGTGAATAGAAGATAGAGACTTGTTTTGGTTCGATGCTTAATAACTTGCATTCGATAAAAATTGTATAAACTAATGAGACCATGGTCTATATCAGTGATGGTTAAACGAACATCATAAGGTTCATTCTTGTCTGTATCCCAGACAATTTCACCTGTTTCATTCATGTTCGATAGTGGATCAACTTTATAAATACTATTCGTCTTGTCTATAGGATGAGTAGCCATGTATTGACTAATGTACTGTTGAGCGTCTGAATAATAATCTGTAACACCGAGTAGATCCTTATTTGGATCATTAACAATAAAACTATGATTCGTTAAATTTTCTGTGTCCATCGGTTCTTTAAATAATGAAGCATCCACTGAGCGAAGTAACTCAAGTATTTCATCGTTATTTGTATAGGAAATATTTGGAAATGGTTGAGTTAGGTAATGTACACATGTACGACCGAGTGCATCTGTAGCATTGAGATCGATATTGGATGTCAGTTGAAACTTATTTGATTGATCCATATGTTCCTCATCTGAATCGAGGTTCTTTTTCGATGATTTATCACCACTATTGATCGCATAATCTTTATTGAGTAATAACTTTACCATGTTCAAGTCATTCTAAAAATCAAAGATATGTTTAGATACCGAGAGACCGATTTCAACCTATTTTACCTGTTGAATGGCGTACATCAATGGTGTCAGTCGTTGTTCATCAGGAAAATTAACGTCTGCTCCAAGTTCAAGTATAAATTTCGCCAATTCAAAATTATGATGAATTATTGCATTGATCAATGGTGATGTTCGAATAATTGTTGATGCGTTTTCTAAGTCTAGGGGTGTGCGTGCAACTGCTTTTCGTGAAACTGTGCTAATGATTTCGAATGACAATGGATTTCTTTCAGTGCGATTATCATAATTGCATAAACAATCAAGAGATTTGCCAGAAATAAAAACAGTTCGAAGAAATTCTTTGTCAAAGGAACTGTCTCTATTTGAATTCCAGAATAATAAACCATAAGCTGTGTTTCCATACTGATCCGTTCGATTCAAATCCAACTCTGTAGGATATTTCTTCTGAAAGAATCCAATGAACGTTTTATTCTGTACAATACAGGCATAATGTAACGGATACATTCCGTAATCATCAGGAGCATTCCAATCTAAATTATGCTTTGAAAAATGCGTTAAAAACTTGTCGAAAAATGATGCGTCAGATATCTGATTAAGATTTATAATATGAAGTAAATTTTGTCCATGGGAAGTTTTCTCTTCCAAAACAGCTCGATTTTTGACGGTTGCTATAAGACGAAGAGCAAGATTGAGTTGATTAAGTGAAATTGCAGTTTCTAAGACTTGAATATATTTCAAATGGAAACGATCAAGATCACGGAGGATTAACGATAAAACTCCTTGCCAATCTCGTTGTTTGATTATTAAAGAAATCAACGAACCCGACTCATGGTAGTGTTTACTCAAATCGATATCGATCGGTTGATGAAGAAATGTGATCAAAAGATTCAAACGCTTCATTGCAATGCAGTCGGCAACAACAGAATTCAAGAGATCATGTTCAGCTAATAAATTCGCACTATGTTTGAATAGCAGCATTATACAAATAGTGGCTTCTTTCTTAATAGCGAGATTTAGTGGAGTATTTCCTTCCTTATTTTTCGCATGTAGTGATTCATAATTCATAGCTTGCATGAGGAGATCGCATAGTTCGATGGGATCATTGTTGCTCTTACTTCCTAAAAAGACATTATGCAATGGAATATTGCCAAGGTCATCTTTAGCGAATAAATCGCAGCCATTATCAATGAGGGTTTGTTCAACAACATTTATCGTTTCGACGATGCCTGGGTTATGAAAAACGGCAATGTGTAATGGTGTACTGCCAGATTTTCCTTTCAAATTCAATGTATCATTATCAATAGCGATCAGTTTCTCGATGAATAAATGAAAAACTTCTAGATAATCATCAGATCGAGATGAACCAGTCAGAAAATGATGTAAGGCTTGGTTGTGTTCAGCGTCATAAGCAAGAAGATCACATTTTGGATGATTTAAAAGATCACGAATAACGGGATATCGTTGAAGTTTACATGCGATCATCAACGGAGTTAGATTTATTCCTGATGATTTTTCTGATGAAACAAAATTAACATCACATGAGGGTTCCTTAAGCAGTAGTGTTACAATGTTATGGTATTTTTCAACTATAGCCTTTAATAATGGTGTTTGCTCTGTTGTGGGGTGTAAAACATTGATATTTTTTGATTTCTTAAGAAAAATTTCCAATGGATGCTCTTCAACTTGACTGGAATATGGTGTTTCATACAATAAATGGAAAATGCATGTCTCACTAAAGCATTCGAGTATATCAATGAAGTATCGAATCATTTTGATTATTGATTGATATTGACTAAGTCGATTGCAAGAGCCATAATATCGATTGCCAAAAAGTTCTTCATACTTCGAGGTACAATAATCAAATGGTGTCTTTCGTTGGTTATCTGATGTCAAACTCATCTTTTTCAGATCCCCTGTCACCGGTAAATTCAATAATATTTCAACAAGTTTTTCATCATCACTATTCATAGCAAAATAATGTAAAAACGTTTTCCCATCACCATTTATATCCAAAGTTAATTCTACCTTCGCTTGATTGATGAAGAAATCAACCATGAAGACATTTTTGGATTCAAGTGCGAGCATCAATGGTGTCTGTGCTTTATTATTCATTTGAGTAGGACTACAATGGTGATCTAATAAAATTTGTGCCATTCGAAAGTAATGATCTTTCGAGGAAGTACTGCTTTTCTCTGCTAAATAGTGAAAAGCATTGCTTCCATTAACATCAACACATGTACAATTAGCGTTGTGTTTCACAACAACCTGTCCCAATCGTTCTACAGACGATTCCGATACATCTAAATCAACTATTAGCATAACGATTGTTTGACCTTCATCATTTTTAAAATTAATATTTGCTTGATGTTCATTTAAAAGATAATCACAGATACCGTAATGCCCTTTCGAAAAACCAATTTCAAGGCATGTCACTCGCCAACGGTTGGCAACATTGATCTTTGCTCCAGCTTCCAACAGTAATCGAACACAAAAGTACCAACCGTAAGCAATCGCATAATGCAAAGCTGAATTCATCGATGAATCGAATGCATTTGGATTTGCTCCAATGCAAAGTAAATAAGAAACAACATGCGCATGCCCATACATACAAGCATGAATCAAGGGTGTTCGTTTGAAGCGATCACGTGCTTCGACTCGAGCTCCATGTTTAACTAAGCATTTAACAATGTCTAGGAATCCATGTTGACATGCGAACATGAGCGGTGTTAATTTTTCCTTTGATACGCTTGTAAATGCGTCAATAGTAGCGCCGTATTGAATAAGAACTTCAGCACATTCTATGTGGTTATATATAACAGCTAAGTGTAAAGGATAGTGTTTTGCTTTATTCATTCGATCGATTGAGGCGAGACCATACTTTTGATATTCGGCTAGATCGTCTGCCTCATTCGATTCGGCCTTTTCTTTTGCTTTTATTAATAGTAATTCGGCATTCGTAGAACGACCGCATATACAAGCGATGTGTAATGGAGTATTACCCTTGCTGCTAGTAACATTAAACTTGACATCCCTAGATATCGATATTACAGTACAATATGATTTTTCTCTTGTAATAGTTTTTACTTTGATAAGAGATACTCCAGAGGACCTGGTCCCTCACAGGCAGCAGCATAATGAATGATTCTCCGCTGTTCGGTATCGGCAATATTGAACTTAGGTACAATCGCCAATAGTTGTTTCAAATATTGTGCGTTTGGATTAATAGCAGCACAATGAATAGGTGTCATCTAAAGTACCATTGTTTTTTATATTTTTTCAACGGAAAGTAAATGCTTACTTGAGAATTCTTTTTAGCATTTTTGACAACGTCAGTGGCTTTATCGATTGTTAAATTCTCTTCATCAAAACTTAAAACCTATGCAGAATGTATGTTGAATAGAACTGTTACCGATTTCTTTTACCTGGTGATGAAGTTGATTGAATCCATGAAACTTTGGATTTGCCATCTCATTCATAAGACTCACTGCTAACTTTCGGTGACCGCGAAGAATGCAGTTGATAATCGAATCATGGGCTCGAGAGCGCTAAGTCAAAAGAATCCTGTTCATCTTTCATCTGTATGAAAAAAGAGAACCATGCATTCGATTACATTTAGCTTTTTCCGAAGTAACTTATAAACTTCGTGTGAACAATTGTTTTGCAATGCAAATGTAAGAATATCAGCTTGGCAGGTCCGAGTGAGTACTTCTTTGGTATCCTAATTGAGTTTTATCAATAGAAAATAATAGTTTAATTCGTGATCAAAATCCTACTTTGAACAGTGCAGAGTTACCTTCACGAGGTCCACGACGAGTAGATGCAGTTGTACTATGTAGATAAGTATTCTTAAAAAAATGTTTCTCATTTGAAATCATTTACGTTTCTGTCGTGCTTTTTCGCACAGTCACTTCTGGATGAGGGCATCGACCTCCTTTTGGATGCAGCAAATCATTTATGAGTATTTCGAGTAATTCAATGTTATTTTCTCTAATTGCATAATGAATCGCCGAAAGACTCTTCGGCAAATCACGCTTAATATGCAGCTGCAATCAAGAGATTATAGAGAAATCCACTATCGTTAAGTCAAACTCAGTTGTTCTTACCGAATAAACATGGTTAACATCATCAACAAGAGTTTTCAACAGTTCTCTATCATCTAGCATCACAGCACGAATCGCCAATTTACTTTGAACACTCGATGATATGAATGGAACTGGAATACTAAACAAATCATTATAGCGATAGATTCTCTCTAATCATGCCGAATCGAATCTCACTTGGATTCGAAAAATGGATCGACTTCATATTTTGTCACAACGTGATTTTCCTTCAGGAAACGATTACTTTGCACTTTGAATAATTTTGTTTTCGATTTCTTTCTCGACTGTTCTTGTTCAATTTCAGTGGCATCAACCGTTCGTCGTCGCTTTCTTACGGTCGATTCTCCTTTGATTGATATCTTTAATAAACGCATAGTTTCGAGAATGTCTTCTTTTTTTAATGTAACTGTTTTATCTGAATGATGATTGACTGATTCTATTTTAGTAAGAACCGTTTCGATCTCAATCTTATCATCATAACTTTCTTTGAAATGCGTGTTTTCATCAATTTGATTTTCATCTTGACTTTCATCAACGAACGAATACCATCGAATTCGAATCTGTTTTGTATCACTGTAAACATTTTCAAGCGTTTGACAGAGAAAAAAAGAATTGGTCGGACTTCGACATGTTAAAAATTTTTTATTTGAATAAACAGGTGTGGTTTCGGATTCTACGACAGACTCGAATGTCGGTCGATTGTTGCGCCGATCCACTGGTTTATCCTAAAAGTAGAATTGAACGATGTTTCTTGAATTCTCATCACTTACATTCCAATATGCTCCATTCAAACCCGTACGAGCTGACTTTCTTCTTGATTTTGCTGCTTTTTCCATATGTGTTTATGAAAATAAATGTGCACCATGTGGATTTTATACGCGAACAAAGTATCGCAGAGAGCAGAACAATGAAAAAATGTTATTGCACAACGTCACTGAAATT